TATTCCTTAGCAGGACACCCCAAAACCCCAAAACCCCGTGGATAATATATTAAAAACATAGGGAATGAAAGTAAGATAAGATTATTAAGTAATTTTATAAATTACAAGAACTTTCACTTTTACTTAGATAAAAGCTACTATATGATCATTGTTATATATTTTTCAATCAATATATTTTAAATTCATACATTTTTGCATCTATTAAACTTGTCAGTGTAATTATCATAAACTTTTGTTATTAAGCAAGTATTGATGTGACATAACTCTGCTATTTAGTTAACTTAACAGCTTGAAACTTTCTCTATCTTGTTCAAATGTAAGTTATTAGTCCTTATCTGAATGATACAGAGAAAACGCTTCATCATACCAGATCTTTTCTTGTTAGATAGCTTAAATCACTTTTTGCTGATCTTTATTGTACTCTATGTGAAATTCAGAATAGTTTATGATCGCTTAAAGTCTTATCGGGTTTATTGGATGTAGTCTCACTGATTCTACAATGCATTTTTCATAGTATTTGCTTGAAGTGTCAAATAAGACTTGCAGTTTATCTTATGAGCCTTGTCCATAGATTTTCAAGCTCTTTAGTCTGTACATGTAGCTAATTGCAATTAGGTTTAAATAAAATGCCTATGCCATCACATTTTTCGCATTAAAGATTATTTATCCTTGTATTAATTGAAAAATTGATTCACAAGCATGATTTATTATGAGTATTTATTCCCTATAGTAATCATGATTTTACAGCTTAAATTTCGTGTTCTTGAAAAATTATTCTAAAATAAAGAACCTTTGATTCATAATACTCGCAAAACTTGAATACAAAATATTCTTTTGATTTTCAGATAGATCTTGCTGATAGAAGTCCTAAATTGAAAGTATCTCTAGTAGGGCCTCATCATATCTTTTAGATTATAAAGCTAAGTCTGCTATCAAGAAGCTTCTCTCAACTTCATTGGAGTGAATTGGTACATTATCTGATTCATATGACTCTAAAGTTTGACTGTCTGAGAGGAACATTTCTAAGTCTTTGAAAATATAATTAATTAAAATATATTATTTAAACTAATGATAACAAAGACTTCTGAAATAGGATAACACGAAATATAAAAGTCAACTGTTTTTAGAGCATTTAAACATCTGAGAGGAACTAGTGATTTTAGCATTAAAGACTATTTGGGTGAATAGAAGTCAACTTCGAATCGCAAGCATGACTAGGACAGATCTTTACAGCTTGCAACAATCAATACTCATCAATAAAGCAAATCATTGCTCTCTAAGGTACGAAATATTTTCTTTTACTGAAATATTAGGCTTCATATAATCGAAATCCCCTTTTAAATCAAAGATTACCTTCTGTTTCTATATCAACTGACAGAACAAAAGTAGATATACGAAAGCAAGTGAATTTTAAGCCAGTGCCATTTGAGCCTTCAGATTACTTACCCGAATTTCAGAGCTATAATAATTCAACTGTGGGTATTTTGGATATGCAGAAATCAATTCTGCATCTTCCACCAGTCATAAGTCAATCATCAACTCCTATTGTAGATAAATTACAGAATATCCATATCTAAGAATTGTTTAAACGAAAGGAGAAAAATGCAAATAAAAGCAATAATTAAAATACTTAGCTCAAATATTTCGATGGCAATTAAGGATCATTCGACAATAGAGAATAGCGAAGAAATGCTAATAATCTCAGTAATAACGTAAGCAAAATAGGAGCAAATCTCCCTAATGGAACTGTTAAGATTAATAGAAAGAAGCTGCCAGCCAACAAGATAAGTGACTTATTAAAACTTAAAAATCCAAATGCCTCTTTGATTCTTGACGATTAGCTTTCTCGTGCCTAGAGGAGTAAGTAATCTTCTATGCTTGGTAAATATCAGACGCCAGTAATGAAGAAAAATGATAAAGTATTGATATTAAACGATGTGAACAGATCTACTAGTCCAGGAGAGAATGAGGAAAATTATCCTATTGTAGCTTAATAAAGAGATATGTCAAAAACATCATCTCCTGGCTAATTCAAAAATTATATTAATTTTACCTCCGCAATAAATATATAAGAACAGGAGTAAAAAAATGCTTTCTCATAAATCAAAATAAGAAGATAATATTAGTTAGTACCTGGCAGATTACCTGAATACTCATTTAAACCCTAGTCTGTAGCTCCTATTGTGAAAGAACCACCTCAAAAATAGTTATCTTAGGATGAATAATAGTAATAATAGCAAAAATTAGACGAAAAGAAAGAGATAATGGAGTAGGAAAAGAGTTTGATGTTTGTTAAGGTATTTAAAAAAGTAAGACCAATAAGAATTAAACCTTATATGCAATCAGTTTACAAGATTCAAAGTTGTTATCCAAAGCACTAGCCATTTGCAGCAAATTTTCTAGTTATCAACTTCGACGGAGTTTTAGGTTATTTAGATGATCATAGCAGTAAAACTTAGGTTAAGATATTTTTAAGGCCTGGGTTTATGACTTTTATGGAATAGATATCACAGATGTTCATTATAAGCATAGTATTCCCGTTACATTATAAAAAGACTTACATCAAACAAATAATCGAGTCATTTAAAGACAATAATGTTGTGATTTTCAATGTATATAGAGAGATTAAAAGGCCTAAATTTTACACTAATATTTATGATTATCAAATTATGTACGATGACTTTTTTCTATATGATCAAACTTTCAACGTTGAAAATTGTATAGTTGTCGGATCAATCAATAAATAAATCTCAAGAGCTGATGTTAGAAGGGAATTCTTTTAAAAAGCAGATAACCTTAATTTAATCAATGGGCTTACAGCTATCTCTAGATAAATGTATTAATGTCCAGTATTTATTCTCATTCAAAACATGAAGGTAGAGGCAGATGATGAAAGCCAATCAGTAAGCTTGAGTTACCTGGCTCAATCACTCTAATACCTTAACGAAACCAAAAACTAATTACTTGTTGAGAAGAAAAAGAATTTTAAGCTTAAAATATCTCCAATAGAAAATGAATAAGAGAAACAAATGATGAACAATTCATTTGATTCAGATATGTACAGGCAATTTAGTCATACTTATCATACAATGTTTGATAAGCTAAAGCAGCATTCTATACATGGACTTAAAGCATTCGATATAAGGCAAGAATACACTACATTCGGCCGAGATCTAGATTTTTATGAAAGTAGAATCGGAAGAGTCAAGCGTATTTACTAAAAGAACTGTCTAAGAGATTATCAGAGGACACCCTGTGATATCAAGCCTGTTTACCAGAATGCTTATAATGATACTATTTCTTAACTTAAAATATCCAATATCATTACTCAAGAAAACAGAGGAATATTTTTGAAAGCCTGGAAAGGAAGAAATCAGCACTATTTAAATAGTCATGAGGATCAGCATGAGATATTGATCAAAGTTTAAAACAAGTATTCAATGAGATATAAGAGAACTTGTGAATGCTGCAAGAATAAGAGGGACAAGAAGGATTTGGAATACGATGAGAAGTAAATGGCCTGCGAATTTATTAAGGAAAATTACGAGCTGGACATGAGCCTTAAAGTAATCGTATTTCCCTCTTATCTTTACCCTCCAATCACTAATACTGTGATGGGTATTTACAAAAAGAAGCCTAAACTACTAGACATTTTTAACGCAAGAGATTGAACTACCAATTAGAAATTCAGATAGAATCATTGCAATAAAACACCTCATTAATAATTCTAAGTTCGTAGATTTATATAATCAAGAGTTAAATTTTTATAATAAATTAAAATCTAAATTCAAGAATGATATCTTATGGGGTTTTGGGGTTTTGGGGTTTTGGGGTTTTGGGG